CACAGTTGCATTTTAGTACGGCATTTCACCCACAGAAGGACGGCCAGTCGGAGCGTACCATCCAGATTTTGGAGGAAATGTTTCGGAATGTATTATTGATTTTGGGGGCAGTTGGGAGGAGCGTGTGCCATTGATTGAATTTGCCTACAATAATAGCTATCAGGCGAGTAGAGAAATGGCTCTTTCTGATGCGTTATATGGTAGACCTTGTAGATCTCAGGTTTATTGGACAGAGGTAAGCGAGTTTGCTATCTTAGGTCTGGAAATCGTGCACGAGACTATGAAAAAAGTCAAGCTCATTAGACAAAGGTTGTTTATGGCATAGAGCCGGAAGAAGAGCTATGCGGACAAGCGAAGACGACCACTATCTTTTGAGGTGGGAAACCACGTCTTTTTAAATGTCTCGCCACGAAAGGATTTGTTGAGGTTCGGGAAGAGTGGCAAGATATCACCATAGTTAATTGGCCCGTTTGAGATTTTAGAGTATGTTGGGAAGGTTTCTTATCGGTTGGCATTACCGCCATATATGGATAGAGTCCATAATGTATTTCACGTATCTATACTTCGGAAGTATGAGCCGGATCCATAACATGTTTTAAGTTGGGTTGATGTAGAGGTCGACGAGGATGTGACCTACGAAGAGAGGCCGGTCCAGATTCTTGACAGCCGGGACAAAGTGTTGAGGGACAAAACGATTCCATTAGTGAAATTTTGTGGCATCACTATAGCGTGGAGGAGGCTACTTGGGAACTAGAATAGGAGGTTCATTCCAAGTATCCTGACATAATTCCATCTCCAGGTATGACTTGATTTCAGGGACGAAATCCTTCTAAGGAGGGTAGATTGTGATATCCCGGATTTTTCTGAATTTTTTTTTGAATTTTTATGTAATTTATTTTTTATGCCTCGTTTTGCATACCACACAGGCCCCGAGGGTAGTTTAAGTTATTTTCTTGAGCCGAGGGTTTTAGAAATGCATTTTTTATTTATATTAAGAAAGTTAGAAATGATGGTGTTATTTTTAGAATTTTTTGGAAGTCGAGACGATTTTCGGGTTTGAGAATTTCTCTCGGTTTTTCTTGTGGACATTTTAGTTATATATATATATATATATATATATATATATATATCTACATGTATCTATAGGTTAGAGGAAGATATTTTTAGGGACCTTGTGGGGGTTGTGATGAAAGGGGAAAGGCACTAGAGTAATCTTATAAAAAGGTAGAATCACCTAAATGGTGACATGTGGCAAAGGAGGAACCACACCCTAAAAATTAGAATTGCCAAACCCTTTCCTCCTTCCTTTCATTTCGGTTAAACACTTCCTCTCTCTAAGTTTCCCTCTCTGTCTCTCTCTCTCTCTCTCTCTATAACTATACACACACATATACTTCAAGTTTCAAGGCCAAAATTGAGGGGTTTAGAGTGTGATTTGTGTGATAGGCATGCATGCAAAGTAATAGAGCTTGAGGAGAGCTTCCTTTTGCCTCCCATCTTGAAAGGGGTTGGAGATTTTGAAAATTAGGGCTTAGTCCTAAGGCTTATTTGGCTAACAAATTGAGGTAGGGGTTTTCTAAGATCTCGTACTTTAACTTTCATTGAAGTATCTTGCCTTGTCCTACTATTGATTTCATATTGATTGCATGACTATGATTTTATTGCTAGTTAAATGGTGATGATGTAGTAATGTGATCTAAGCATGTTTATGGGTGACAAGTATGATGCCTTTCCATGCTATGTGTTAAGTGCCAACTTAGTTGAGAAGAAGTGAACTCCATGATGAGCATGTTGTGTTTAAAGTATAGAAATTGCCTTAATTGCGATTACATTAGGAAGTATGCCATGTTGAGTTAAATTACAAAAAGGATGACATATTCATGTTGTTGTTGTTGTTTTGAAGAATTGTCTAATTGAGAACATTGGTGCATATGTATGGCATGATAGGGAAAATAAAGGGAGAAAGGGACTTGAAATGAAATTTTTATAAAAGTAACCAGATTTCGCAAGTCCTGTGCTAACTTTGACCTAGAGGGAACGCGTGCCGGTTTAGGACTCGTAAAGTTGATTACTAGGCCCTAAATGGTCGTCGGTTTAGAGGCCAGGGATAGATAATCAATATCGCATCGTTAAAATCAGTTAGCGGTTTTCCAGTGTGAGTTAGGGTTAGTAGAGACCAAGTTGGGGACATGGTGCATTGCATTGCATTTTTATGCATACTTGTGATATGTTGTATATTTTTCGTGATGAGAATGATTATACGACTTAAATGCTATAGAAACCCCGATGCATGTCCCCTGTTCATTTTTATTCCCGTTATGTGTTTCATGGTTCAAGGGAGTCCAAAGTTGACGCCTTAGGCAACTTATACTGAGCCTCCGTGCTCACCCCCTCTTTTAACATTTTTTAGGTCTCGGCAAGGAAGTGGTTGATGACATTTCTCCATAAGTATAGTAGAGGTTGATGAAACCCTCTTTTGTAATTTTTGTAAACAATGTTTAACTATGACGATTATTTTTTGTAAAGATGATATTATCCGGTTAATTGTATAAACCATTGCAATTAAGACCTTAAGGTTCTCTAACTTGTAAACTTATTCTTTTGGGATGTTATTGGGTAAAATTTAGGCATATAAGTCATGTGGATGATAACTATATTTATACTTTAAAGTTTTGGGATGATATAGACTTTAATGATGTAATTTGAACCATTATAATATATGGATGATGTTGTGGGAGTGTATCTATATTTTTAGGATTGTTTAGGGACATATTTTAAGTGTATGGAAGGGTAATTTGTCTTAAATTTCAATGTAGGAACCAACCAAAGCTTCCTAAGAGGCCAAATTGACCATTTTCCTTGTCACTCGATCGATTCGAATCTCCCATACTTAGAAAAATTGAGAAAAGCCTCAAATTTCATGCTCTCGACCCCATCGTTCGAGCTTGGGCTCTATTGATCGAGTTTAGACTCGATTGGTCGAGTTAGGCTCAATCGAGCACTCTAACTTGTTTATTGGTGGTTAACCCAAATTTCGAATGGCCATAACTCCCTCGTTTCAAACCCAAAATTGGGTCATTCTTTAGTTTAAACTTTCCGACTCGAAGTTAGATTTTCAATGATATCAATATCATTTTCAAATTCCAATTACACTGAGAGTTGTAACTGTTTTAGTGAAGAGGTATCGACGAATCCTTAAAACCGAGTGGGTAAGTGTGAAATAGTATGCCTATGGTCATTAGGAACTTATGGAGTGAACTAAATTGGCTAATGTGATGTTATAGAGCCCCATTTAACTACTTATAGTCACCTCCTTCCCCAATTTTACCTTGAAATAACCCTTTTTACTTTTGTGTGACCTCGGGTCGGGTTAGGGCCGGTTAGCGATCTAGATCCCCTGGATTTGGGTCGTTACATTAACCCTAATATAACAATTAGGATATAGACATTATACGTATAATGTATAGAGATAGAGACAGACATAGAGAGGGAGCGAAAGAGAGAGACAGATAAGGCAGCGACGAACCCTAAGCTACCAATTTGTAGAGGAGAATCCGAAAAGACTACGAGCTTAGACTGATTTTTGGTGAATTACTCATTGCTACAATTCTGAGGCAAGTTCATCTCTTCTCTTCCCCTTTGAATTTATAAGCCTTTTACCTCTATGAACTCATAGCTAGTATGTTTAATCACTGTTATTATCTTGTGTAAATTGATTTGTGAAATTATGAATTGAACCTTCAAACGTTTTGGTGAAATTTTCCAAACTAATAAATAAATTTGTAAACCATGCTTTATTATTATAGAATTTGATTTAAATCCTCGTTATGCTTTAGATTATTTGGGATTGCATCTCTAAATTCGTTTTAATCCATAGATCGTCTTATGCTTTACATAACTTGGCTGAAATTATTAACCCCGGATTGAGAACCCGCAGTTGCGTAAAGGAATTCACGCCCAGGCAATTTTAGCCGACTGAAACTCGGAGTCAGCCGACTGAAATACAAGTTTCAGTCGATTGACATTTGATTTCAGACGATTGAAAACCCCTTGTTACTACAGACTAACTTTTGTACTTTAAGGCTCAACAATTTTTCGAAACAGTGAGTTTTTGTCAAAGTCGCCACCCCCTGGAACCAGGCTCGACCTTAGAATAGTTCGCGTAAGGTATTATACTATGCCGAAAAGAATAATTGGAAAGGATGAATAAATTTCATACTGTGATATAAATGTTATTAAACATAATGTGGATGGGGAATGTATAAATTCAATATGGTGCGATGTTAAAAATAAATAAGAGGTGAAAAGATATTGACTATATATATCTGATAGGTTTTGTTTTATTTTATTTGTTTACTGTTATTTTATTATGTTGCTACGATGTTAAAAATAAATAAATTAATTAATTAACAAATAAGAAAAAAAATTAGGTTGCTGCAAAACCAAGAAGTCATCTATACTAGAGAGACAACTGGTGAAGAAAATTATTAGAATATAGAAATGGAGTGATATTCACACTCTTTTTTTAACCAAAATTCCTAGGGTTGTAGAACTTAGAACATTAATACCATTTGCTTTTCTGTTGTTTTCTTTTCTCTTCTTGTGTTTGTAAAGTTCAAGCATACACACACCCTAACCTTCCTTTTGAGCTGATGCCATTTGCAAAACTAATACCATTCACTTTTAAAACAGTAATCAACTAATCAAAAATGGGATGCCAATATGGCCAGGGGAAATAGAAAAAGATTTATCGCAGAAACTCCAAGGGTTGGCCTAGGGAAAAGACTTGATCCCTAGAGCCTCGTTGAAGGTTCAGTTCTTAAGTTTGATTCTTTTTAGGTGTGAGCAATTTCTAAGGCCATGACTGCGAACATAGTTCGAGCCTTACTTGATATGTGTGAAGGGTCGCCTGTCTGTGAATTATTCAGGGCAAAGCCCCAGACAACCCGTTATCAAAAAAAAAAAAAAAAAAGGAAATTTCAGAGAGGGAGTGAGGAGACCTGGATATGTACGAGTGAAAGAATCCCATATACTTGGGCGTCTACCATCTTCATTTACAGCACCTTCAATCTGAAAATAAATAAACAATATTAGAAGCAGCTATATACAAAAATATATTATTTATACAGTATACTTGTTGTATGTATCTTCATAGGTTTGAGTAGCTCCATAAATGTCAATGACCTGATAAGCAGATGATCCTGCTCCAAACACAAAACCATCCGGAAAACAACTGCGGTTAAACGAATCTATTTTGTAACTAGGTGATAAAGGTTTGTTTTGGCGGTGAATCGATCTTAAGGACATGCTATATCTCCATGGAAATGTTGCATTACTTGTCACTGCACTTGCAATGACGAGTAGGGCTTTGAAGAGAAAATTTTGGAACGCCATTACGAATACAGCTTTCTTTTGGTATGATACCAATGTTGTCTATGTGGCGAGTAAAATGAAACACAAGCTGGGCTTTATATAGAGCAAAACAAGCTAGGATGGGAATGATGCATTGTACTTGATATATTCTGAAAATCAATAAACACTATTCATTAATGATTTTATTATACCATTATTATTTTATTACTACCTATGCAGGTCATATGATTTAGAACAATGCATATCACGCCTCTCATTATTAGTCAGTCAATTCTTTCCTACTTTTTTTGTTATTGCGTTTTCTTTATTTATCATACTATACTTGGTTTTTACATTATCAACTGTAGCTTTACATTTTGGTCAAAAAATAAATAAAAATAGTAGGTTTACATAGTAGCATAGTCTACTACATAATTTCTTTATTGTATTATTGTCATATGTTCATTTGAGAGTTCGTATCGTAATATTTGTATTTTGAACATTTGTAAGATTTGTATTTTGTATTGTATTTTTTCATATGTAAGATTTGTATTTTGTATGATATGTATAGTACTCTATACGTTAGTTTGCTCGAATTGAGTAAGGTATTTTCATTCAAGTGGTTTTTCAAAAAAAAAAAAAAACACTGTTGAAACGAATGGTAATTGTTATGTAACGTACGGTTAACAAATTCCATTAAAACTGTTGAAACTTATTTATGAGATCTTGAACCTATAAGGCAGTTTATAAAGCATAAGTTTTCCTCTCTTTTTTAAATGCTCGTTCAAACTGTAATAATAGATTGACCCACTGGTTTCTAGATTTTGAATATCTGAGTTTGAGATTACAAAGTAGTAATGACTCTGCATTTTTTTTGACTTTATACATTTACTTGAAGTTTGAGATTACAAAGTAGTAATGAGTGTGCATTTTTTATGACCTGATACATAAATTACTTGAATTTCATCCGTTCCTTAGGTGTTTGTTTCAAATACTACTAAATTTCAAGTGTTGAATGTATTAGTAAAGATATTATATACCATTTTAATTTGAAGCTTTGAATTCATTATTATTATGTTTGATACTGTCTTAATTTTTAAGTGTTGAATTCATGAAAATTGTTTAATTTTAAGCATTGAATTTATAAAAATTTGAATATTGTGAAAGTTGTACATAATACATTTTTGCCTTCAATAACTGCTACTTCTATTTATTACTATTATTATTTTTTGATAAAACATACTATATAAAATATATAAAAACAATTGATTTTATCAAAAGAAATATATCAATTTAACAATAGATATGAATGTCAAAACTGATCATATAAAATACTAATTCAAACTTAAATAATGAACATTATTCAATCATACATTTACCTAATTTTCAAAAGCGAATGTCTTAAATTTGTTAAATTAAGCTAAACATATAAAAATTTAAACTTGAGGGTAACGTTCTTAGGTTGGTAATTCAAGTAGAGAATTCCACCCTGAATCCTTTTTCTAGTTATGTCGTACTTCAGTTTTACACTAACACTTGATGAGTACTGAATATTGCACATTTGAGCCCTTAAAGTTGCATATCTTAACTCTTTAATAATACTTATGTAGTTATACTTATATCATTTACTTGGTTTCAGTTATTTTCAGGTATTCGTAAGTGTGGGTACTTCTTCAAGGAGTCAGGAAAGGAGGAGGCACAGAGGTGTTTCATCGTATTCATAGAAGCAGTGGACGGGACACTCTGCTCCTACTACTCATATGTCTTCAGGGTCTTCTAGGACTAGTGTGGTGTGCTATCATTGCAAGCAGTCGGGACATAAGTCACATAATGCGGGAGCGAGAGCGGGAGTGGGAGCGCGAGAGTGGCAAAGTTTAAAATAAGGTGAGAGAAGAAGGAGTGTCGCGAGAGCGTCTATATATTATATTTTTATTTTATGTGAAATATGATTATATTAATTTAATAAATATTATACATGTTTATGTTTATATAAGTATTTTATGTGAAATATGATTACATTAATTTAGTAAATATTTTTTTGTTGCTATTGTATTTCAAATATATTATTGTATATTGAATATATGTATATATATATATATATATATATATATATATATATATATATATGTTTTTAGGAAAGTTAGGCAATTTTATAGATAGATTGGATAAAAATATATTGGGCCATTGGGATAATACATTTAGAACAAAACAAAGCCAACAATAAAGGTCTAAAAACAAGAGGCCCAAGAAAACATCATCTAAATACATATGCATAGAGCACCAAACAAACCACTCAACCTCAGCAGAGTCTAGGGCACAACGGCAGGATATATCAAACTTGACCTACAATAAGCCATGGTCAGAAGAGGACAGATCAATCTGGTGGTCTAGGTGAAGGCCGATGATTCTCTACCATTCCCAATCAATTAGGGCAATTTCAAGTTTTTTTCGAGTTCTCAAGCCTCCGGATTGGAGAGGTTCTTTGATGTATCTGTGTACCTCAAGCTTCGCCAAGCCTGTAATAATCATTATTATTCTTCTTCTTCTTCCTCTCTTTAGATGCAAAAAAACTTTGTCTACTTCTCCATATACAAACTTAATTGAAATCCGAATTCGCGAATTTCAAATCCGAATTCGCGAATTGCAGCCGCATCCGCTCCCAAACCGTTGATTCGCGTTCGGAGCTACGGAGTGGCACCCTATACACGCGAATCGTGTGACTTAGGTCAGGACATTACAAAGGTAGAGCATCCTCTTGATCGACCTAGTTCCAGAGTATGTTTTTAATGCAGTCAACCGAGGCATATGAAGAAGGATTATCCACAGAAGAGTGGAGGCATTACTCGTAATTGATTATTATGTAATGGGGGAAATCTGTGAGTTTTGTGATTTTGTAACAGAGGTTACCCGTGAGTCGTGTGTTGTGTAACGAGGGGATACATGTGAGTTCGGTGTTTTATAACTGTGGTTACTTGTGAGTTGTGTGTGTTGTAATAGTGGAAACCTCTGAGTCATGTGTTTTGTAACGGGGGTTACCTGTGAGTCGTATGTTTTGTGTAACAGGGGATACCTTAGAGTCTTATAATTTTGTAACGTGGGTTACCTGTGAGTCGTTTGTTTTGTGTAACGGGGGATACTTGGGAGTTTTGTGATTTTGTAACGGGGATTACCCATAAGTCATGTGGGTTGTAATGAGGGATATTTATGAGTTTTGTGTTGTAACAGGGGACACATATGCATTGTCGTTCTTGTTGTAACGGAGCTACCCGCGACTTTTGTGTAGTAGCATGATTACCTATGTCAGGGTTTGTGGACAAGTTCATTGGTGTGGTTTTAAATCGGATGGTGATGATGGTGATGGTTGGTGTATGTGCTCATGAGACAGGACGTGGTTCATGATGCATAACATGCATCTCGTTATTTGTAAAATTGTACCGGTTATTGCTATCATGTAATAAAACAACGATGTATTTGAATGACTATGTGTGTACCCGTAGATTGTTTTACCGGATGATGAAACATGTTCTATATGCAATTAATTACTACTTATTAATCTTATTGCTGAGTTGATGCTAGACGAACTATAGGTTGTGTCGCCTAGAAAGTTGGCAATGTGATTGGTTAGTGAGGTGTAGTTGTTCCACAAGATGGAGGGTTTAAGTTATCATTTGGAGAGTTTTTCTTTTGGGTAAGATAGGACGCGACATCCTAGGATGGATTGTCTAGTCTCTGTGAGACATTGAAGAGGGTGAGACCGCTAGTGTACGAGTCAGTTTTTCTATGAGTTTAAAGTTGTATGGTTGTTTACGTGAGTTATCCATTTTCCTTGCGTGCGAGCATATAGTTCCATCTTGGTTTGTAGTCGGTGTCCATGGTTGGACACTTAGAGAGTGGTGTGTCACGGAATGTGCGAGTGCATCTCGAGTTTTGGTTGTTGTTTCCTTAGGGAAACATGATTATTTCCACATAGGGTTATGATTGTTATGAGCCCTTGGTTTGGTTTAAAGTGAGTTGGTTGACTTACTCCCACAGAGGAAGATGAAGTCTCTAGTTCTGGTGGCGCTTATTTCGGGTGTGATAGAGATTATTTGAGTATAAGGTGTAAGTTGTTGATGGATAATGATGTTTCCCTTATAGTCTTGGCATTGCAGTGATGGTTAGGGACTGTAACATAAGTTATATGCTTAAATGTTGTCATGAAGGTTGGTATGGGATTGTCTTTGGGACTGGATTTTGTGTTATCGAAGAAGCATCTGATTAGTGAGGTAAGTGTGCATTTCATTTGGAGAATGGTTGTGATAGTTGCTTTTGCTCTTGAGGTTTCACGTATGTAAGCCTCATGGAGGGACGATTTGGAGGGTTTAGGAATTGAGTCTAAGTGTTTGGCAGGGCTTTACTTCTGCCTTGGGTTGTCAGAGATGGTTTCGAGAGCATGTGTGTATAGTCACTGAACCGTGACATCTTGTGTTCCATTATAAGATCTAGAATCATGGTGTTGAAAAGATTACAAACAGTGTATGTTCTTCCTCTTACAGATGTGTGAGAATGATGATTGGAGTTTAGACCTGAGCATAAGAATGACATGAATGTCAGGGATAGACTGATAGGGGAAAGTGGCCTTAGCAACCATTTTTACTGAGTTGGTTCCGCCGTTGACAGAATGTCAGGTCAAAGAACAATGATTATTTTGTATCAGTAGCGGCGATTAGGGTAGGATGCAGTAAGTTACGCAATTAGGAGTTGGATGTTTTATTTAAATGTGAGTTTCGTGTAGAATCGACATTTTGGATCGTGCAGATGAGTGCGTGAATGGTTCTTTTTTGGTATAACTATATAACCATTAGAGAGTTATCTTTCTGGTGAGTATGATGAGTTTCTTAGTCTTAGAACCAGTAGTTGGTGGTGCATCTATGGAATAGCTATTGGAGGTAGAGGTTATTCGGGACGATTTTATGTGTGTCCTTGGGATCGCGAGCCGAGCTTGCAAGTAGGCTCGTCAAGCGGTTTTGTAACTGCTATCTTTATGGGCGTGAGGATGTTTA